TGGTTTGATGCATTAAAAAGTTAAAAAATTTACTTAAAATATTTTTAAAAAATTCACTAAAAAAAAAAAACTCAGGTGATAACCATTATATTTTTATTTTTCAGTTTATATATTTATAAAAATTTTAAAAACTATCGTATAAACTTGTTTGGTAAATTTCAATTTTTAAAATGGGCTGGAAATGTAAACAGAAAAAAGATGTTTTCGTTGTTTATAAAACTGAAAAGCAAACCAGAATAAACACGGAAGGTTGAAAAAAGGCGTAACTCTGAGGCCTCATTTGGGAACAGGCTAATTTAGTAACTTTTTGACTATTTGACTAAAAAAGTAGGTAAAAAAAACTTGTATGTTTGGGATGACTTTTTGGCTAATTACGAAAAGATATGCAAAAAGTAGAGAGAAAAGAGAATCTTTGACTTTTTAGTATGGGTTGTTGGCTTTTTGGCTAATTTAATAACTTTTTGGCTAATTGGCTAAAATAGCCTCTTGCCAAACGAGGCCCTTTTTGGCTAATTGACTAAAATAGCCTCTTGCCAAACGAGGCCTAAGTTGGTCACTGTTTCAAAACTAGGGAGCAACAATTTTACTATTCTTAGCAGAAAAACTTTACCACTGTTGCAACGGTTCAAGAGATTTCTTGTTTTTTCAGTCCAGGTATCTCTCTGTTCTCTCTCCCCCTCTCTATCAATGCACCTAGTTCTGATTTCTCCACTCTTACACCCGTAAGCATGGTTCGTCATGGTTCGTATTGGATCAATTTGGTCGTAAATCAAGACCAATGAATCAATTCATCACCTACAATTCCATCAAATTTGAAACCAAACCAATCTATAAAAAAACAAAATTTTTTGGATTTAAATAATAGACCTATACAACATATTTGTCATAAATAACTTACATAAATAAATATTTTATGCTTTAAAATTAACAAACATGTTTTTGGGATTTTATTTTTTTCAATTTTCAAACATTTTGTTCGAACCAAATGTGTTTGTAGTTTTTGTTTTTTTTTTTTAAATAAACAAAAACTAGTTTATAATTTTTTAATAAACATAAACAAAAAAACGTAAACGTTATCAAACACCACCCCAATTTTCAAAAAAATTAAGTTTAAAAATTGGAACCAAACAAGCTGTTGTGGAAAAGATGGGGATGCACAACAAAATATAACCAACTGCATAGTTCTATGGTGTAAAGAGCTCCTACAAACCCTGAAGAGTTTAACCTCTTGTACTAATCAATGATGAGAAATAGGTTAAAGCATTCACATACTGTCAATCCATCACAGACAATGCACAAAATCTGATAATCTATTAATCAATGATGAGAAGTATGTTATAGCCTGGAAATAAATTTCACATTAATTCATATATATATATATATACCTACCCTTACAAAAATGTATGCTTAGATGAGAAATTGCAGTGTTCATGGGATCAATAAAAACACTATACAAATTTATGGGTTGAATTGATTTGGAAAAGTAAAAAAGGATTTGTATCATCTATTGAATCTGAGCTGTAGATTACCTCCCACTGCCAATGGTCTGCAAGCACATCAAGCAGGATATCAGCAATTCGGAGCTCTCTTCAAATCCCGTTGCCAATATATCTATCACCCAGTCCAACATAAAAATAAAAATAAAAAGCAAAACAGAAATTCTACCACTAGTCAATTCCTTTGCTGAACACCAAGCCCCTGTAATTTGTGAGAAAAACTGTTTATTAAGATTGAAACCAAAGCAGCACAAAATATACATAATTCTAAAAGTTTAAATAGGGCTTGAGTGAAATGAGACAAGTCAAAATGAGTAGTAGATATAGTTCAAAGTTTGCTTGAAAACTAAATAAGTTTCAAAATGTGTTGAGTCGATCTCAGACAAGCTTTAAACGAGCCAAATTCAAGTAGCTTATTTTTCTACAGTAACTAAAAACTTATCAAGCCGAATAGTAGATTGTTCAAATTGGCTTAAAAACTCAACAAGTTTTAAAATGCATTTAACTGTGGGTTTTACATAACGGGCCAATATCGAACGAGCATTTAACGAGCCAAACATGAGTCGAGCTCAAGTAGCTTGGCTCATTTAACAGTCCTAACTTTAAATCATATAAGGTGTGTGGGCATGAAAAAAAGAATGAACAATAAGTTTTCATTGACTTATGTCCTTATAAGTTTGAACTGGACTAAAAGGTTGTCTAAAACCTCCTTGACTATTTGTTCAACTTCTAAACAAGACCTTAATGGTGGAACTTGATTGCAAGGTGCATTCGAGCAGGGGTCATTAGGAATGGCAACGGGGCAGGGCCGGGGATCACACTCCCCGTCCCCGATCCCCGATTGTGAAAATCACCCCGGCCCCGGCCCCGACGGGGACCCTACCACCATCCCCATCCCTGCCCTCCAACGAGGATCGGGTTTCCCCGACCCCGAAAATTCCCCGCCCCGCCAAACCTGTTTCAACAGCAACACAATCAATAACAACACAATCAACAACAACAACATCATCATCATCCCCAATCAACAACATCCCAATCATCAATGGATCATTAAAAAAAAAAAATTGGATAGATAGAGACATACATGAATAAATACAAACAGATCTGAGATCGGCATCGCGGATAGTGGACGAAGGAAGGAGGATCGGCGATGGTGGGTAAGCCATAGGAGGAGGAGGAGGCGACGGTGGCCTGGAGGAGGAGGAGGAGGCGGCGGTGGCCTGGAGGAGGAGGAGGAGGCGGCAGTGGAGGAGGCGACGAGAGGCGGAGCAGCCGACTGCGTGCGGAGAGAAGAGAGAGAGATAGATCAAAGAGTGAGGTGAGGGTGAGACAGAAGAAAGAGTGAGAGAAGAGAAGAGAGAGAGAGAGAGAGAGAGAGAGAGAGAGAGAGAGAGAGAGAGAGTGTAAGACAGTGTAAGAGAGAGAGTTACACATGTGGATCTGTAAACAATAAACATATTTATATACATATAATATAATAAACAAACATATAAACATATATATATAATATATAATATTTAAAGAGACAGCCTGTAACCAAACCAAACATATATATATATAATATATAAATCGGGGGATGACCGGGGCGGGGAGCGGGGCCGAGGCCGGGGCCGAGGATGAAATATGTATTATCGTCCCCGGCCCGAATGTCACCGGGGATTTATTTTTGAATACCATCCCCGGCCAGTCGGGGGTATTTTTCGGGAAAAAACCACTCTTATCGGGGCCGGGTTGAAATTGCCATCCCTATGGGTCATGGCCAGTCATGCAGGGTTGTCCAGAAAGGGGTGAACAGCTACTAGAGTAAGCACACTTGCATAAGGGTGTGAATGGAAGCTCACTTGAGTAGACTCTAATCCTAGAAACCCTAGGCTTTTTTCGAGGCCAGCTCTATAAATACTCATTTGTAACTCTATTATAGTAGTCTTGAGAGTGTGAAAAACATATATATTAGTGAGATCAATAGAGTGAATTTGTGAAATTGAGTGTGAGAAACTCTTGTAATTCCTCTATTAAGATCATAGTGAAATCACAAAGAATCCATAGATGTAGCCCCTTTTTTTAATGAACCATGTAAATCTTTGTGTTGCTTTTGTGTGTTTAATCTAGTTTCTGTTACAGATTCATTGTTTGTGCGTGTGGTTCCTCAGGTCCTATAGGTTTTGGAATTTATTTCACAACAGCCTTCTCTCCAAAATCTTACTGATCATTTTGCATGGAAAATGAATAGGACCTACTGCTTTACACGGACAGTTTTGGTTTTTTTCAACAATCACAGATTAAAATTCTGAAATCTTCAAAATGCATCCCCATACAATAGTTCTAAGAAAAATGTCTTGCTATTTTAATTGTGTCAGCTGGAGAACACATCCCGAATTTCCTGTCCCAATTTCCAACCTACAATACATGCAACTAAAATATGAAGATACCTCAATAATTTCTGACAAGCTGGCCGGCATCCATATGATTCTAATTTAAAATGTTGAAGCAATTTTTGAGACTTTCAAATATCCAAAGCAGGAGGCAGTCTCCAGTAATTCCATGAATTATAATCCTCCTGGAACCAAGGTGGAAAATGGGTGGGAATTGAGTCAGTCAACAAAAGAAAGGAGATAAACTGACAGTACCAAAACACAATTTCTATTCAAATGCATGGTGAAGAATAACAAAAATGGAAAAATCATAGACAGGACACAGCACACTAGTGTCCTTGGGGTTAACCTCATTCAAGTGTATCCATTATATCACACTACAAAAGATCCCCTCAGTGATTATAGTTTCAAAACTAATCCTCCATTTGTTTTGGCAGAAAACATTTTTCAATGGAAAACATTTTTCTATGTTTGGTTGCGTCCTTGGAACTAATGTACTAATAGTTGGATTAATGGTGGTGGCGGTGGGGAAGTAGAGGTGGAAGTGGAGGTGGTGGTGATAGTAGTGGTAGTGGTGGCAGCAGGAGGGTGGTGATGGTGGTATTTGTAAGACTTTTATCTAGAAAGCATTTTCCACCTCTTTCAAAAGCAAAAAGCATTTTCTGTCTAAATGAACTTGTTTTCCATTAACAACAAAAAACATTGTCCATTAGACTTTCGTTTCCCATTGTACCAAATGTCAGAAAATGCGGCACAAACGGAGCATGAGGCCCTTCTATATTTCTCGAGTTCAAACTCCCACATTTGAAAGAGACGAGGTGGGGAGGGTGTAAAAGTGGACAAATTAACCTTGAAGTAGCCTCATAGTTGGTTTGTGAAACAACACCCAGAAAAGAAAATGAGAGGAAAATTTGATTTTAATACAGAAAATCTATTGCGAAATAAAAAGAAACCTGCTCAGATGAGGTCATGGGCGGAAACATGTCATGCACAAGACCATGAAGCGACGTATATGATTTTGTATCAACACGGCGGTGCACAGCTACTTCCCCCTGCAAACTCAAAGCCATGACAAAAGTTTTTCAAAGTCATGTTAGACACGCTGAGATCTCATGCAAATTATAATGGAGTCTTTTCAGAATTACCTTGGGATTAATGATGAAGATTTTTCCCTTTGGGATTCCAACCTTAAGGTAGCTAAACTCATCAGTGTCTCTATTTCCAAAACCAGCATAGAATGGGTGGCAATCCGCGGGAAATAATGCCTTAATATCCTGGAAAATTGTAAACTAACATAATTAAGAACCTCTCTCTTCCAGACATATTAAGATACCTCTGTAGTAGAGATGACTAGAACCAACCTCTAAGCAAGCAATTTTGAATTCATGAGGAGCTCTTCTGATGACTGCAAAATTTTGATGATAAGATAATCTCTCAGTGCACTAAATATATGCTATATGTACGTATTAATGGAAGCTATTTGCAGAGATTGCAAATCATTCCTATTCTTTTTTTCAGACAATGGATCAAGCAATATAATTTGCAAAAAAACCAAAATGTGCGGATTGTTACACTTGCATGAAAATAAAGTTGCAGAATTTACAAAAATCAGGCAATTCATGAATGAGTTTCAAGAAACAGAACACTACACCAAGTACCTTCTCGAAACAAAGAAGGAAACAGTCCGTCAGGGGAAATAACAACAGGCCCTTCTGGTAAAGCCTTTCCATCCTGCAAAGGAGAGAAATGAAATCTGTGAGGAAACAGACAGCAGATAGCACCAATCACTTTCTTGACATTGACTCTCCATCTCATCACCTGCTTAAGGTTGAATAGGAATTGTCTAGTGTGATAGGCCTGTGAGATAGCACGTGCACTTAGAAAAAGTAAATGATACCCATTTTCCTGCCATACGAAAGAACAGAATTGGTTAATGGAAATTTTTAACAATCTTGTCAGTAGAGATGTTTTTCAGAATTGTGATTCCAATTACACAATCAAGCAGTAAATAATAGAACAAAAGCGCACACGCAAAAACAAGACACAAGATATACGTGGTTTGGCAGAGTGTGCCTACATCTACGGCAGAAATGGAGAACAAATCCACTATACTCAATAAGGATTATAAGAAGACTCTCAACCTCTCAATGCAGCACACTTTTCTATAACACTCTCTATGAAACCTTACCCAAAAAAGGCCTTACAGTACTCTAGAGTGAATAGTAAATACAAGACACCTCACAACAAGGGAAGTAGTAAAAGTAATGGGATAAATAAAATGTACAGAAAATTGTCCATTCTCAAACTCCAGAGACAAAAGTAAGAAATGAGAAATAAAGCAATGCAAAGCCAATAGTGTGAATCACAATGACAAAATGGAGTAAATACATGATTGCATAGATTTTTGGCCCCAAAAAAAAAAGGGTGGCTGCAAATGAAAATATTGATTTGAATTATGGAGTCGTGAATTGCAATATGCATCATTACCCTAAACTGAAAAGAATAGATTAAAAATTACAAATAAATAAACACATAAGAGGGAGATGCAAGAAACCTTAATAGCAGAATATAGATGTGCAACACCAGTCTGTGACCAATCCATTCCAACCAAAGGCATGAATTGTCCTAGAACATCAGATCTGTAATAAATAAAATAAATAAACAAATAAATAAAAGGAATCAGACAAATCCAAAAGGAAAGTACAGCCTCTTGCAATGATAATACTTCAGAAAAAGAACATGCAACCAAAGAAGCAAGTTAGGATGCTCATAAATTTGACTTCTCTAACTGAAAGAAATATGTATCATGAGCAACAAATAAGGTCAGTAGTCGAAAGGCAATGCCAAATTTTTAAGAGCTTAACAAAATGGAAAACAAAGGGCTAAGTTATTAGTTCTTTGGTTTTTGGAGACCAATATGCCCAAAGCCTAACCTATTAAGGAATGGGCCCAAGAATGTAAATCAAACTCTCACACCCTCCTAGAGGTGTGACTCTTACTCTTGCACATTGAGAGACAAACTACCACGCAAATAAAAAGGGTGCACAAACACAAACAGGACACAGAGCACAACAAGAAGCATGATTGGGAGAACAAATGGAAATTATGAGATTTGAACTCAAAACATCCGGCAACCAAAGCACATATACCATGTTAGATGAACAACTGTCCTAAAAGCTTAAGCTGTTAAAGAGAGATCCCAACAACATATATCAAGCACTCACATTCTTAAATCTTAATATTAGGATGCAAGAAAAAGAACTGAACAACAAAAAAGTAAATTTCTATTCTTAACCATCTATCGATAAAGAGGAGGAGGAGGAGGAGTAGTAGTAGTAGTAGCAGTAGTGATAAACTCGTGCTAGAAAAAAGTAAGAATAACCTTACTTAGTAATTGTCCCATCAACATCTGAAATGACTATACGAGAGTCCCATTTCCACAAATATATTCTAGCATCAACCTGTTAGGTAAATACATCAAGTCAGACAGAGATCCAGCTAGAAAGAGAAAAAATTGTAATTAAACAATGCATAACAAAATAACCTGCTGTGGCCCTAGCATTGGAGTTGAGAATGTAAAGGTTACGGTGTTCTGCCCATGCTTCAGATTCAAGGACGCCAGCTGTTCAGGAGTTGGAGTGAGTCCCCTTGATTTCTTGTTCTTCACCTTAGGTTTAAGCATATCTTTTTCCCCATCCATGCTAATAGAGCTCTCCAAAGTACTCTCCGCATTAGAACTTCTGCTAGAATTTTGAGCTGGCTGTGTGGCTTTCATGCTTCTTGATCTTTTGAAAGAAAAAGGCCAAACACCCCAGCTTCCATTGGAGTCATTAGTAACTTTAGATGGATCACCTGCAGAAGATTTCTCAAAATGGTCAAAGGTTATCATGCCTTTTGGTTCCGATCTATGTTACATAAACTCGGGTACATGTATTGGGTGGGGGGTACATGTCCAAATGTCGGACCTTCATAAACTTAAATCTTAGGATGATGGGATATGTATCCAAAAGTTGGGTAAGGATACAGGGATGTGTCATGGACACATAAATATTGCATATTGTGTAATACTTACAAATATCCTTGAAATTAAATAGAATTTTAAAAAATTATGATCTCTGTCATCCACATGAACCCAAAGAAGCAAATTTATCCATATCCAATTTTTCAGTATCAGATGCCAGAGAAGTGGCAACAGCCCCCATCCCATCACATATAAGTGTTTGCAAAGAGATATCTCTGCATAAAGCACAGTGCATCTGTGACTCACTAAAGTTCATCGCTTATATGAGGGTTTTTTTTTTTTTAAATCTAACTTAGTTCAAGTGTTTGGACATGAGAGAAAAATAAAGCTTTGCATTTTCATTTCTATGGACGTTTATAGGGACACATCAATCCTCAATTGAAATTTTAACCAAAGAACATGGAGTAATCACCATAAATGTCATGAAAATGGAAATAACATCGATTCTCCAAATCCAAAAATCAACTTATACATAACATGAAAAAATAAAAGTGACTCGATGACAATTCCATATAAAATGAATGGAATGATTCCATTTGAATTCAGTGTCTAAACAGCCCATAATTATGCAAGTTTCTATCTATAAGTGGCATATAAGCAAGTAGTTCTCTTACCAGCTGCAGGGCTGGCAGGTCCATTTTTGAGCTCCTCCAAAATTTGAGCATCCTCGACTGTTGGTTGTGCCAAGGATACTTGATCATCTTTGTTTGCATCTGATTTTTTCCAGCTTGAAATGTCTTCCCCGAGTGGTGTCCACGTCGAGGATTTACATTTTGAATCTAGAGAATGTCCAAAAGAACAACGATCATCTACAACCAAATCATTGGTGTGAGACCACATATTAGGTAAAGATTCAGCCCTCCCAAGGTCCTCACCAGCAACTTTATTACTTTTAGGAATATTAATGCTACTTGAAACTATCGTTGGCTTTGCACTGAAGTCTTCAACATCATTTGGTGTATTCTCTTGAACAAACTTGTTTGAAGATGAATGTGGGTCATCGTTTGGGTTGAGTGACTCGATCACTGCTTCACTACCTTTCGAAGTATCTGAGGGATGATTTTGTTTCTCCACATGATTTGAAATGTTTGACTCCATGCACCTAACCTTCCCATGATTGAAATCATCAAGATCACCTAAAAGTTTTTCTTCCTCGGAACCTTCTGACGTAGTAAGAGTTTTTGCTTCTGTTGAGAAACTATCAGTCCTAAATTCTTGAGAATCGCCAACAGTCTCTGAAGAATATTGGAGCTTCGTCATGTTATCTTCATCCCCTGTGTTTTCTCCATCTTGCACTTCATAAATTGAGTTGTTGAAACCAGAAATAGTGTAAATGCTGCATGACTCGACTTCTTTTACTGAACCATCTATTGGGTCAACAGTCACCATTTGAGCATATGTTTTGGTTAGAGTACTATTTGCATATGAGTTTGAAGGAAAATCCAAAGGATCTTTTGCTACTAATAAACTAGTTTCTTGAACAGAGTTAACCTCAGATAATGACTCAGCTGTCTCATGAACCATTTTGGCATGTACACAGACTTCTGCACCTCCCCCACAAGAAACGTACAAAGTCTCATCTGTCTGTCCACCAGAATCATCTAATTCTAACCTCGAGCTATCTAATGCTTTGCTGTAAACTAAAGATTCAAGTCTATCAATGCCCTCCTTAAAAATGTGTTCTTCTTCAAGCTTCTTGCCAGGACATTCATCGAGCTTAGCAGATTTTAGATCAGAACCGATGGTCTCAGAGATTAAAGCCATAGCATTCTTATCATGATCTGCACTCGTTACTCCTATTTCATCAATCTCCCTTGATGTCTGAAAATTCAAATCATTTTTTTCTTGCAAACCACTTTCACCTTGACTGGATGTTCCAATATTGTGCTCAGTGTTTAAACATGACAATTTCCCAAAATCCTTATCAGAACTAATGCTGATTCCATTGTCATGAATAACAATTCCGGCATGCAATGCAGTAGGGTCCAAAATAATTGAAGGCGAGCCCATCTCAACCTGTCCATAACTAATTGGCAACTCCTTATTTGCTTCACACTCTGAGCTCTCTGAAATGATAACCAGTGATGCATTATCTTTCCTGTGCCTATTAGACGCAAGATTGGTAGACCACTTCATCTCCAAGAGGTCAGCTGCAATCTCAGCACGCTCCAATGAATCTGCTCTGACAACATCAGGGCTGTCCTCATCCACCCTACTGGCACTGCTATCCTCTTTCTTTGACTTCCTTCCAAAAACAAGGCCCAGAATACGATTCTTGCTGGAATTTGTCCTGGTGAAAATCTTTCCATTGGTGACATCAATCTGAGTAACCAAATTAGACTGATTTGCATCAAAGTTGCAACTTTTGGATTTCAATGGCAAATTAGACAGACCACCAGCATCAAAGTTGCAACTTATGGGTTTCATCGGAATCCTATCACGAGACTGACCATCAGTCTCCTCACCAGAAGACGAAGGATAAAGTATAGAATCCCCTTCTTCTTCGCCGTTCTCCTCCTCCCTAAGAAAGTAGGCTTCCCCTTTATGATCCAAATACATATGGAAATCGGCTTCGACTCCATTAACACTTATGTTAATCATTTTCTCTTTTGTCTTGAGAACCCCTTGAAATTTCCCAAACCTAACATACCAAGGGGATGATTTGAAGCTCCCATCTTGCTGTTCCACCACAATGATATCTACAGCACCGCCAAACGGATGGAATGGGCCGGAGACCGTGTAAACCCCCCGCGTGATGTAGCTGCCGAGCCTCCCCACAGCATACATCCTCCAAGAAATCAAATTTCTCAGACCACCCAGATCACAAAATCACAAACCCTCATCAATAAACTAACCCCCAATTGATTGCCCAGCGAAATTGCGAGACTTTTAGGTTATAAATTATCTCCTCCGATATTCCAAGAACAAGAGATCACAAAACTTAATAAAAAGAACACAATTTCAAGAACCCAAATTGATTGCCCTCCAAATGACCCAATAAAAAAGATCACATGAATGAGATAGAGAAAAGCTCTATCGGGGAATCAAAATCAAAATCAAACCCAAGAAGCCACGAACAAATTTATAAATTTGGGCCGCCCCAAAATCAAATAAAAAGGACAAAATAGAAAAGGAAAACTCAGAAACGCGGAACCGCTAGGAGAGAAGGGTCGAAGAAGAGGTGACTGGAAAAGTATATTCGTTTTAAGATTATTCGAATGTGCTGAACATCAAATCATTAACACACTCCAAAGAAAATGACAGATATATATATATATATATACAAATTTATATTTTAAAGATTAACAAAGAACACCCATCTTAAAAAATAAAAATAAAATAAAATAAAAACTAGAAAAGAAGGGCAATTGAAAATGGTTTTGGTGAAAAGGACTGACCTGGAGAGAAGAAAGCCAGTTTTGGAGAGTAACGGCCAACAGCTTTCTCAGGCGAGCGAGAGAGAAGGGGGGGGGATTGAAGAAAGATCTATCTGGGTGTTTGTTTTCTCGGAAAAGTCGATAGAAAGCTGCGTCAATGGGTCGTGACACGTCAGACGGGTGTTTGTTTTCTCGGAAAAGTCGATAGAAAGCTGCGTCAATGGGTCGTGACACGTCAGACGGGTGAAGTGAATTTGGCGCTAGACACGTTTGTTTGTTTTTTTTTAATTTTACTAGCGGTTGTATGTGTTACTCAAATAAATAAAAACAAAATAAAAAATTTATTATATATTATGTGCTAGTTAAGTGGTAAGAGTCTTATTTATTTAATATAAGTTTCGAATAATGTTTGAGAGCTCGAAATATTGCCCCCCAATCCCCCTAATGCCTAAAACAACGTCGTTTTGGGCATTAGGCTTTTTTTTTTTTTCTCTTCTTTTTTTTCTTCTATTTTCGACTATTTTCGATCTGAAACACAAGGGGAAGAAGGAGAGGGAGAGAGAGACAGGGAGAGCGGAGAGGAGAGAGGAAAAGAGAGGGAGAGAAGAGAGAAGAGAGAAGAGGGAATGGAAACACATACACACAGAGGCCCCTGCATTCCGGTCGATCTGTCGATCGTCGCAGCTCCGCCGATCGTCGGTCTGCCGTCTGCCTCCGCCGCCGCCGTCTGCCTCTACTTCTTCTTCTTCCCTTCTTCTTCCTGATCTTCTTCCCTTCGTCTGCTTCTTCTTCTCTGATTGAACCAAAAACGGCGTCGTTTTTGGTTTCGGGGGATTAGGGGGGATAATGTTTCGAGCTACGTAGCATGGTCCATAAGTTTAAGGTTCAAGTTTCCACCACTCATCTATCTATTTTTTTTTAAAATTTTAAATAAAGAAATGAACACGTGGCAGCATAAGAAACAAAGATTCAGGACACTGTAAGAGATGTTCACTTTATAATTATAGTGGGTGGCACACACGATGTGTGTGCAATTTAAATAAGTAGGAATAAAAAAAATAATAATGAAATTAATATTATAATGTGTATTTAGTTTAAGTGGTATGAGTCCTTGTACTTACACACCCATGGTCATGGGTTCAAGCCTTGCCCATCTCTTTGTTTAACTTTTTTTAAAAAAATAAAAAATACTGCTACATGGCATGAGGAGAGTAAAGCTTCAGGACACCATAAGAGTTATGTGTTCACTTTATAATAGTATAGATAGATAGATAGATAATTTGATTTTATTTTAATAAAGCGTGCATTTCTTATCATATTAATGGATTTAAAATTTTAATTTAATTTTTTATTTTCAATAAAAATATTCTTTTGCATTTAATTTGTGTTTTCGTATAGAAAATAATATGAAATTTGATGAAAATAATTTGAAAAAATTATAATCCAGTATAAGTTTTTTTTTTTAAATATCTATTCAATAGTAAATTTTATACACTATAATAATTAAATTTATAAATATTTTCATTAATCTGTAACTTTTTTTTGAACATATCACTAAAATTTATTTTTCCCTTTTATTTTGTGACGTTTAAATGGAGAGGGAATATAATTGGAGGAAATAGTGATATCTTTCTTTAGTTCATGCTAGAAATCTAATCCATGGGAAAGATGTTTTAAAATTGAGGTGTTGAGGTTTAAATAATTTGGGTCGTTTAAACGAAGACTCCATCAACTATTAAAAATTATTACTTTGATCTTTAAATTATAAAAGAGAATAAATAGACTCTTAAATTATTAGAAAATATCACTTTGTCACCTAAATTACAAAAACGTATAAATTAATTAATAAAATTATAAAAGCGTACAAATTGAACCCCTTAACAAATGAGGTCAAAGTAAAATACATCAATAATTTAGGGGCTAATTTTATGCGCTTTTAAAATTTATGAGGCAAACTAATACTTCTCAATAATTTAGAGAGTTTTCATTTAAATAATCCAAACAATTTTAAGAGATTCAATTTTTTGTGACTGATTTGTCTTGCACTTTGATTAAAGGGTAAGTTATAAATACACGCCCTGAGATTTACTTAAATTATAAATTATTCCCTGTGGTTCTAGAAATTATATTATGTCCCTTAAGGTTTCTAATTTCATAACAAATAGGTCATTTTATTAATATATCATCAAGTTAATTAACAGTTTTAATAATGTTAAAATTTTATTTCAATTAATAATTTAGATAATTTTATTATTGTACAGATGAACAGTTAGAAATTTCACTTTTCAATTAATTCTGTCAAATAAAAAATTCTAATAGAGAGATATTTGTAATTTTTTAAATCACAAAAGACAATTCATATTTTAAACAAATCTCAACAAGTATGTTCACCTTTTTATTAAACTATATTTGAGATGGAGAACAACGGTAACAATTGAAGGATCAGTGACAATCAAAGAGCTAAGTAAAATTTCCAATGATATTATGGTCCATAATGGTACTGTTTGATATAGCTTATAATAAGTTAAAGAATAATGTTTGAGAGCTCGAATTTGGCCGCTCTTAATCCCCCTAATCCCCAAAACGACGTCGTTTTGGAGAATTTTTTCTTTTTTCTTTTTGCTTTTTTCTTTTTTCTTTTTTCTTTTTTCTTTTTCTTTTTTTTTTCTTTTTTCTTCCATTTTCGGCTCAAACGCAGGGGGAAGAGAGAAGAGAGAAAGAGAGAGAGAGAGGAAGGTGGGGGGGAAGGTTGTCTGCCTATATACTCAAATCATAATTCCAAATCACAACCAAACGCAGACAGTTTTTACGGTATGAAAAACTGATCGCCGCACTCTTTCAACATCAACATCCCTGAACATGTCCTCTCCTTCCTCCCCCTCCTCCCCCTCCCTCTTTCTTCTTCCTTCTGCTAAAAAAAAAAAAGAAGAAATTAGGGAGATTCGGGGGAGCTCGTTTTCGAGCTCCCTAGCACGGTTGTAAGTTAAAAGTTGATAATCAAAAAGTAAAAACCAAAAACGTTTTTTTCTCAACTTCTAAATTGTCACACCCTAAAATTTAGACAATTAAATATTAAAGTAAGACTAAACCCCAATTAATATTCCATCATCTAAATCTTAGGGGTGAAACAAAAAAAACTAAAAGCCAACTAAACCAGTCACCATAATTTTATAACTAACCAATACCTCCAACATTAAAGTAACAATACGTAGTCAAAATAACATAAATAATGTACGGTTACAAGCCATGCCAAATTATCCCAATACTAAAATCATAAAAAAAAATAATAAATACATAAATTAATATCAACCCTAAGCTCAAGAAAATAAAAGAAGTCCAAACGACAAGTCAAACACTAATAATTTCACGTCACCACTGTAGCTCCAACTAATCCTGCAAAGGAAGCTCAGCTGCACACAAACAGAACGCACCCGAGTTGCCAAGAGACAAAACAGGTCAGTATACAGGTAAATTGGTATGAGTACAATATTTAACACCCACGTGTCTACCAGACACAAACAAAAATATATTTAATTCTTATTACGGGACAAGACAAGTAGTTTCATCTGCACCGAGACGAATGGGTAGTTTCTCGAGATACGGTAGCATTTAGTTTCTTACCCGTACACAACGAAATATAAATTGAATATAAAATAAATAAAATAGAAATAAAAATATGATGAGTCAGCCCTGCATAAAAAGTTAGTAAGACCCACCATCCTGCAAAATAAAGTTAGTATAATTTAATCATAAGTAACTTGCTAAAGAAGTATAAAAATGCACCGTTTCATACTTAAATAATTCGAATTGACCAAAACTCAAAGAACAAAAGTTGTACAGAATCAAATTTCCTAAAAGACCACGTGAATGAATTTAGTAGAAACTGTACAAGTTGAGAAAAAAACTTGATAGAAGAACCTAGACGGATTTTAACAAAAAAATCTGAAACTGAAAACGAATAAAAACTGTTCTAAGATGATTTTTTTCGGAAAAATTCAAAACACGAAAAGTGTATAGAATAATGTTTTACTTTAGTTTTTCTAAAACCAATAAAAATGAGCTTGTTTCGTAGGTTAAAACAGCCTCTAAAATTTGCATTGCTAAAATGAATCCAAACTACTATAATCAAGATCATCCGATTATAAGTTCTAATCGATCTTTTTCAATAAAAAGTTAAAACACAATAGTTGTCTAGAATCACGTATATATGCCTCTTCTCAAATTTCATAATTTATCGAGGTTGTTTACTATTTTTCAAGATGTACAAATCAATACAATTCACATTATACTAATAAACTCATGATTAAATTCTTTGTACCTTAACTCCACCACTACGGCTTCCACTTCCGGTCTACACATATATCCCACGTGCCTCTCGTATACCTAACACCGCTTCGTAGCCAAACTTGCACGGGGATATCGTCCCTAGTTTGACCCACACTCCCCGGGTGGTTAGCATATACGTACACGCGTAAATCAAAACACTCGTCTACTGATGAAAACGAGGCAACAATATATATATATACACAACATCTCACTCATGAGAATAAACATAACAATATCAAGCCTAAGGCATTCAAATAAATCTCATAATCCTCACTTTTTTTTTCATACACTCATTCTTTCTCACCAACACTCAAGTAAAACAATAATCCATGGAGTTATGGTGAAGTGTAAAGAATTTATCTATGGGTTCTAAATTTATTTTAATTTCATATATACATGAGTGTGATTATAACCATAAAATAAATCCATGTAAAAACTATACACCTTGTATACACAACCAATCAAAATAATTAAAATCAATCAATCATCTAAAAACCTTAAACCTTATATACACAACTAAACAAAATAATTAAAATCAATCATCTAAAAATCCTAAACCTTACATACACAACTAATCAAAATAATTAAAATCGATCAATCATCTACATGCAAATATGAAATCAAATCAATATTAAATAAATAAAAATAAATAAATAAAAACAATGAATTAAATATAAATCAAGAGAAGTGAATTTTGTACTCACAATATTTTTTTAAAAATCAAAGAATCACTTGAATAATTAATGAAATCGTCAAAATAAAATCTTAATTTTT